CAATCCAGTCCTCCTGAGACCAAGTGATAAGGGCATTCTGGACAGAATGACTTCCTTGGGAAGGAAGATTGTGCCTTTTGTTGAAGTATACTCTATCTCTTGAGAACTGCAGACTTGCAGGCTAGGCACAGGAGGGAAAATCCATCAATTTTCTTGGGGGCCTAGTTGGGCAGGAGGTTCAGATTTTTTTTTCTTCCAATTATCCCAAAGGTCCAATTATGACCAAGGTCAGGTCAAGTGTAATTTGCTCTAATTTTTTTTAATTGCCCCATTCCTAAGTCATTCCTCACCCCCAGTGGTAAAGAACTTGTAAAAAATCATCAATGTTATGAGACTAAAAACAGCATTGTAGGGAAGATGGGATTATTTATGAAGCTTGGTTAACATCTCGCTTATTTTCCCAACCAATGTTTACCAATTTTCCTATCAGAAGACTCGTGCTTTAGCATATTGTTGAGAAACAATAAACAAAATAAACAAAGCTGTGTAATTTGCTTTCATGAACACTTTATAGTAATGCCAAAGAAAACAGTAGGCAGTATGCTTTGCTTTAAACAAACAGAATATAAGACTGTTTGGATTGACAAATAAACTAGGAGCTCACTTGAAAAAAAAAAAAGAGCTTTAAATCTAATTCTTTTAACACATTTTTTCTGGTACATTGAAAAAAAACAATCAACACACACAATTTATGTATGGGCAGCTTTTCTGAACACACCAGTCACATTAATCAGTTGGCACTCCTTCCCTGGTGCACACATAAGAATTTGCTGTCTGAGCATAGGTCTACTTCCTTACAAAGAATCTTCTGGTCAAATGTATTGCAACCAATAGAATACAAAAACAAAGCAGACATTTGATAGTTTTTCTATGCAACTTCTAATAAAAAGACACTGACACAATATTTGCCCCAAATGAGTAGTTTGGTTAGATACAAAGTGAGACAATAGGAAACTTATTTCATGAACAAACAATGTTTCTTTCACACTGTTTCTATCACATTGTTATTACAACATAGATGCGCTAAAACTTTTTTGTACAGATTTTGATGAAGGGAAATGCTAAATGGAAATCAAGCAGATAGAGGTAGTTAAATAGCAATATAGAGGGGGACAAGCATTATCTTAATTCCCCTTCATTACAGTGCAAGAGTAAAATGGCTGCTTAACAAATGTAATAACAAACACATACACATTTGCCAATGGCTTAATATTTTTATCCTGGCATTCAAGTTCTTCACAGAGAACTGCATAAAATGAGGAAACTCGTTCATCTAAGATAAGCCTATTGACCTATTTTCTCTCCTTTTATTGTTCGTTGTTGTTGCTTTGACAGTAACTGCTAATCAGCTTTTTAAATGATGCATAAGCTACAGTGTTGCTTTGTAAACTTCAGTTAAACACATTTCCTGTAGTGAGAAAACAAACGTTTGAACGGTGGCTACAGTCATGGAGCAAAAGCTTTAAAAGGACAACTAGGAACAGCGATTACAGGCACTTCTCTCTGAAAGTTAACTTGGTGTGTTTGGAAACACCCATTTGTTTAAGTGAACATTTCTTCATTTAACCTCTGGATGTGCATAACCCAGACTACTGAACAGTGTAAAATGTTGGAGTTACCACTCTAAAATGGATTAAATGGGTACATTTCACATGACTGTTGCTCCTTCCTTTTTGCTAAACTCAGGAAGGGACACAAATCTTCATTATACACCTCTACTAAGATTCTGCCTTCCTAAACAGCAATGGATGTAAAATCAACATATTGGGAACTCAAGGAATGAGCCCCTGAATAAAACTCCTTTCTTGAAAATGGAGTTCAGATGGGGGAACAGTCCCCAATGGATTCTAGTCCATCAACAGTACTATCTGTTGACAGTAAGAGACCTCTGGGTGCTGTGAACTAGCCTCGGAGCTCTAGTGCTCCAGTGGCCAGTCACAGGGGATTATCTGAGCCCAGGCCAGCTCCTCAGGCAGAGCTGGGAAACACCATAAACAAGCACAGTGACTTGACTAGACCTTCGCTGCTAAGGCAGCACTGGGCTAGAAGCAGTTCGCCTTCAGAAAAAGGCAAATTGTCGAAATCATCAATTCTTTGTCCCAGGAAATCAGGGGCAAGCACTTGTCTCTTCAAGTTGCCTAGAGAAAATTAGGTTTTTCATTTTCCATTTTCTACATTTTGCTGGTTATTAGCTAGCAGCAGTAGTACGGTACAAAGCAGAAAGGCACAGTGTCTGCCTGGTACCGTGTGTGTGTGTGTGTGTGTATACATATATATATTTATACACAAAATAACCTACTAGGAAAAGACTGGGTATATCATGATAAACAGGAAAACAAACCAAATAAATGGCCTACTCTAACACAGCGGGGAGGAGTCTTGTCCTTCTGGTCTACATTTAGCTTTTATTTTCAAGCTGTGCAACAAAACTAACATTGAAAGTGTTGAAAATGTTCAAGTCCAATTCAAGTAGATACCCCAAAAGCTGAGGCTTAGCCTTGCATATTCTCTTACATGTGGTAGGCACTGCACTAAGCAATTTACAACCATGGTCTATGTTCATACCAACTCTGTATGCAGCATTTGTCACTGCCATTTTATAAATGAGGAAATTGAGGCTCCATAAAAGATCCTTTGGTGTTCACTCACATAATCTCCTTTGTATTTATTGTCTAAACTACCTCACTCGTACTTTTCTGTTCCTGGCCCTAGGTGATGATGGATAAATCAGACTGATTACTCGAGGCATTAACCTCTCACCGTACTAGAGCAAATGGGCTGAGAGTGAATCATCTCAGTGTAGTTGTCCAACATAATATGGGCATTGTTGTTCAGTGCCATCAGGTTGGTTTCAATGCATAACGACCCTAAAGAGGGTTTCCAAGGAGCAGCTGGTGAGCTTGACCCACCAACCTTGCAGTTCAAAAGACTCTGCAGTCTGATGCATTAGCCCACAGTGGCACACCAGGACTCCTTAATATGGGGGTGGGAGTGGTAAGTTTGGCCACATTACAAATGGCACAAGTCCTAACCCTTCTCTGCCTTCACCTTGTCACTCTGCTGTCAATAAGACACTCCCATAATCAGAGTATTTTTTCAGGCTCTCCTATCGTAGCACTGAAACAATCAAACTTGCAATAAGCAAAGTTTAATAATTGCTTATTCTTAACCTCCTTACCTTCTATTCTTTTCCTGAAATTTCTGGCCCCTTGTAACCCAGAGGAAAGGCAGTGTTTAGATAAAATAATGGCCTGTCTGGTTCCCTTAAAAAAAAAAAAATTTTTTTTTTAAAGGGTTCTGTCCTATCTGGTTTTCCCCCATTTATTTTTAAATCCAGAAAGTCCTTCATGACATAAGTCCAGGGCTTCCTGCTCAGCATTCTGAGACGAGGTAGGATAGAGAGGCTAATTGGGCATGGCTATGATATGTCAAACTGAACACCATGCCCTTTGAAGGGTTAAGTATTATCCTGCCTAAAATCCCATTCATAATTGCTTTGGGAAAAATGAGAAAACACTTAACAATTGCTGCAATAAATGCCTACAAACAGAAACATGGAGTATTGAACCTTACTTTGGCATGTGCCACAATCTATGCCAAATCCTGCAGGTAGTTTATATTGCTGAACTCACACTGGAAAAAAAAAAATTGGAATCTGTGAAGGTAGATGATCTTAGCATCATTCTGAACTTCTTTTAAACATCCAACTGAATAGGTATAAAAATGGTCCAAGAACTGGGATCAAATGCAGTTTTAAAAAAAAGTTGAAGCACAAATTGCACATTGCACATTTCTAGTATTGTTACTCCCCTCTAGGCATTCGTCCACAGTAAACCACACCAATAAATAAAGTAACTGACTTTTCAGTAATGGACACTTAAAGTAGTTACAAACATACATGTAGGGGTGGGAAGATTCAGTAGTGCAAAAAATAAATTAAAACAGAAAGAAGGCTGAAAATGAATTTGTACAATGCTTACTAAAACCTGAACCATATGGAATGAGACTCTAGTCAGTGAAATAATGCAGCAACATTATTAGTGTGTTTGCTTCACATTTCAACCACACAGTCATTTATCTAGGAAAGAAAAGAAAATTAAAGCAAAACCACTTTCAACACTTGGAACATTTTATGGAAAAAAATTCAAAATAAAAACTCCCCCAAACCCCCACCTCAGGATTCTGAAACACCTCTGCTGTTCATGCCTTAGTGCAGCAGGTCAAGAACATCTTGAGACATCAAGTGTTGAACCAGATCACATTCTTTTGGTCTCTACTCAATTTTCCCCTGTGATCCACAGTAGGATAATACTTCTGGTTTGATCTCCCCTTCTACAATGATGTTATTGCAAGTATATACACTGGGGCAGTGGTGAGGGTGGGTACGACTCTTCAGAAATCCATTCTTACTAGTTTAGAGTCCGGGATATAAAGGCCACAACACGCCGAATACTATTCAGTCTCTCCTTTAACGACCTCATTGCTAGGAATGGGAGCTGAGCTCGGCTTTCCAATGGAAGAACTGCTAATATCCACCAGCACCAGGCTGGACCATCTGGATTCATCTGCAATAGAGAGATACAATGGATTCACCCAATTCTCACGGAAGCAAGAGCAGCCTGCAGATTTCCAAAGCCTCCAGGTAAACATACTGCTTCTGTGTGTAGCAGACACTACTGCATATCCATTTTCCTCCCAGAATGAAGGCTACATTTTCCAGACTCGCTTGCAGCTAGGTGAGGCCAAAAGACAAAGTGATACTAAAAGAAGTGATACTTGTCACGCCTGAGTGAGGTGCACATGCTCTCTCTGCCTTCCTCTTTGCTCTTCTTTCCTCCTGGCTAAACATGAACATGGTGATGATCAGCAGTCTTCAATCAAGATGACAGCAATCCGCTGGAGCACACAGAACTTTCTAATGAAGGAGCCTGGGTCCCCCTTAGTAAGCTCAGGGAAAAGCTGTCTTGCCCCTCCAGGAAGAGTCCTGGTGGTGCAAATCTTTACAGAAGTGGCCAGGGCCATAATTAATTAAGGAATTAAAATAAATAAATTGAGACATATTAATCCAGGAATTAAATAAATGAGACATGGGGGAACCTACGCATGAAGAATTCATTGTCTTTGCAAAACAACAATGAAATATTTTCTTTTCTTTTCTTTTTCTCTTTGGATGGCAGAGCCACAAAGAGTTGTTTTATTATTTTTATGCACAGACCCCTAGTTAAATTTTTCTCTTGTTAAATCATTCTCTGATTTATTCATGATTTTATTAGTATTCCTTTTTACTTTAGATTTTTGACTCTCCTACACTTTAGTATATTTTTATTAAAAGTTAGAAGCCACAGATTAGCTACATTTTATTCTACTTGTAATCTTAGGTAGTTTTAATACTTATATTAACAATATTCTTAAGACTGCTAGGAGACAGGATTTGTCAATTGAATTACTGCCGGCTTAGGTTTAGTGATTGTAAACATTCTTCCTTATAGCCTTAGTTTAAGGCAATAAAGAATCCCACAGCCATAAATAAGGGCTGTGGGTACAAAAATTCCTAAAAACAATTAGATAAAGGCTATGGGTATATACAGATACTAAATAAAAAGTCTGACTTAGACGTTCTTAAATTAATGATCGGTAAATTAGAGAAGTTGTTTTTCATAGCCTCAGTTTCCCTGATAAGTGATGTTTTTGTAGGCTATAAACAGATAGTGTATGGAAGAAGTCAATGGAGAGTTAATTGCACCTAACAACTAAAATTAACAAGACTTAACAGACAAAGGTTAAGAAATATGTGAAGGTTAACTTGCTTCTCAGAGAAAAGAATAGATTTATGTAGGAACAAATGTTTAAAAGGTTTCAAGGCTCCTGAATGTCTCCTATGCCTTGAGATAATGTCTTTGCTGTAACTTCTCATCCCTGTTGTAAATTTAAGAATTGTAAACCATAAGGAATGTGCCCCAAGATAGATTGTACCTTGATGTCATTGATTACTATGAAAGCAATGTTTTCTGTAATGGTATATAAGGGGTTGTAAGCTAGAACAAAGAAGAAGGGAGGAAGGAGAGAAAGGGAAGAAGGAGAAGAAGGGAAGATGGGAAGTAGAAGAATGGGTGGAAGAAAAATTAGAGGCAAGAAGTAGAGGTAAGAGTAAGTAGAGGAAAATAGAACGAGACAAGAATGGAGGGAGGGGAAGCTAGTAAAGGGAGCAGAAGAAATGAGCAGGAGAGCAGGGGAGTAAAGAATGAGCAGGACAGTAAAGAATGAGAGAAGTAGAGTATTAGAGTAGCCATAGAAATAATAATAAAGCATGTAATAATAGGATTTTGAATTTATCATGACCCATGACTCCGTGTAATCCTTATCGCCGACACTGCACCCGCCTTCGGAAAAAACCCTGAAATAAATATGCCGGGGCAGGCTCTCGGCACAGAAGCAGACAGCCTCACCTTTGTCCCACGGAGTGGCTGGTGGGTTTGAACCACTAACCTGTGGTTAGCAGCCCAGTGCTTAGCTCACTGCACCATAACCAGGGCTTCTATTCATGTTTAAGCTACAGTTATTTTTGGTATTTGTTAAAGCAAACAAATCAGTATCCTAACAATACATCATGCTCTCCTACCCATTGTAATTTTCCAAACTGGAATATCCACTACACTGTGTCTTCCACTTCTAAGATTGCTTTAGGTCTCTCTGCCCACAATTTTGGGAATATTAATTTTAGGACAACAGAAAACCTACATTCAAGCCACCAACACCTGAGATTCTTTGGCCTCAAATTGGTTCATCTGATATTCCCCAAATCCATGACTTTTTTTGCCTCTCCATACCTTTAGCTTCATTTGGATTCTTTTTGATCCTCACTGCAGTTTGTCCCATGTTCCCCTTCCCATTATCAGCTCTGAATAGAAGAATTTCCTTTCCCAAGATCATTAAAAAAGCTATTTAAGCTGCTGTTAGTGTTTAGGGCTGTTTCTAAGCAACCACCTCATGAGGCTTGTTATTAAGTGCCATCGAGTCGATTCTGACTCATAGCGAAACTGTATAGGGTTTCCGAGGAGTGGCAGGTGGGTTTGAATCGACCTTGTGGTCCAGCGCTTATGCGTATCAGGACTCCTCCTGAGGCTTAGAACATTCATACTGGTGGGATTATAGGAGCTACAGGACTGGCTGGAGCGGAGCAGACCAGATGTCTTATTTTAGCACGCTGCTGCCAAAGCAACATAATGACAGTTTTTAATATGAAGTGAAACCCAAGATTTCAGATTTCTATGTCATTAAGTCCTTCTGACTCACACTGTGGCATCTGTGCTTTCTCCTTTGAAAGATGCCATAATCATTGCTTATCTCGCTCTTTTGCTTGACTGGGGAGAATGCTTCCCAGGTGAGGGGGAACATTAAGCTTGGTCAGGAGCTTGCTCGGAGCTCTGCTATAAGTCCTGCATCACAGCAGCCCAGAGGCAGGAGCTCCTCTAACTGGCCTTTCTCCCATCAACAATCACCAGGCCTCTGTTTGGGGGGGGAAAGGGGCCATCTTTTTGGTCTGCAGATAACAAGCTACTTCAGACCATCAGGGAACAGGTGGGTGTTTGTGAGACCGAGAGGAGTTGAGGGCCCTCCTCATGCACTTCTTTTATTTCAAAGATGAGGGGAAAATTGAGAGAGGGAAGTGAGTCACCAAGGTCACACAGCTAGCAAGCAGGACCAGTTTTCTGGCAAAAAAAAAAAATTAGATTTTTCTGTTGGAAATGAGGGTGAGTAATGAATTAAGAAAGTGTTAGAGATAATCATGTAGGAGAGAGCCAGATTAGAATATGGAAAAAGGAAACGGTGGGGGAAATGCTTGGTTAGGATATCTCCAGCCATGTCCTTGAAAGAAAGTATCCCTTGAAGTAGAATTCCCTTCAAGGATCTGGTAGTTCCTACCACACAAGCCAAGATTGGGGAAATCTAGTAACAATCTCCACTTTCCTGGAAAGCTTCTCCTCTGCAGCTTGATCTCCAAAATGGAATCCACCCCCCACCCAGGAAACAGGCTGATCCAGTAGAACCTAATGAAGAGCAGCTTTGTAATAGAATTCAGCCGTTGATAGATTTCGAGATTGAGTCAGTTTTCCCTGGCTCTAGCTACCTCAAATGAGATCACTAGCGAAGGTCTAGACCTGTAGAGATAAGGTGGATGGGTCTGGGCATGAACAGTTTCTGTGGTCTTACCACTGGACTTTTGTCAGTAGTTGGCCCTACCTCTAGCTCCTGCAGCAATAGAGGAGAGAAGCTTTCTGGAAGGTTTGGTCTCTGCTACCAGGATACCTTTCTCTTTAGCGTTTATCTTGTCACCCTAACACACGACCATGGTGTGTATCTTCTGGCTCCCATCGAAAATTCTTCTATTTGTGGTGCCTGCACTCTGTTCTCTCACATAACTTACCTCTCAAAATCTGTCTTGAATCCAAATTCCTACTACTGTACTTTAGCTAGCCCAATTCTACCTTGAGAGCTTTTTGGCCTTACCCATGATGCCCACTGCTCAAACAATACCAAATTGGATCCATCTTCCTCTCTGCCTTGGCTTTTCTGGGTGGCAACCATCCAGCCACAGATCCTAGGCATTCTCAACACTTTCATCTAGTAGGATAAGACACTGTAAAGAGAAATGTGTATATACCTGGGGATCCGCATCTTTCTCTGGCATTGGACCAAAGTGATGGAGTATCCGATTCTTCATTGATGATTTGAGTGAATGAAACCATACTGATGCTTGCTCATATACACAGTTATGTAGTGTCATCAGTTCAGCATAATCCTCTCCCTGAACCTGGAATATATCAAAGTAGAAATGAAGCATTCTGTACCTTCTCCACCAGTCCCAGAACTCCTTTGGGTTCTTGGACTCTCTCTCTGAGCATCCATCCTGTTTTCCTATGGGAAGGGTCAACTTATCCAGCTTTCTCCTGGATGATACGGGAATGGCTCTTTGGTCAGATGTGTACATACTCTGTGTAAATACCACTAGGGATGGAGGAAGGGAACAGGGTCTGCTGGGTAAATGAGATGAAACACCAAGCTATATAGAAGGGCAGAGATTCCAAGTGGCCTGAGTGGAGGGGCAGTGTTAAACTACTGATGCTCATGATCTATGCTTCTGCCCTTGTTTTGCACATTTCTTTTCCTACTACTCACTAGGAAAAGAGACACGAATGTGTCTGTGTCTCTATATTTCAAGCTATATTCCCTGATGAAACTATTTATGAATCTTGTACTCTGCAGGGAATGCAAACAGAAACAAACATGGATTATCTACCAAGGAGTAACTGGACACGATGATGGACTATGGAGAAGGGCTCTTAGCCAGGTTATACATTTGAAAACACGTGCATCTGTGAAACTCCAATCATCTCAAAACTGTTCAAATAGCCATCAATAAACACACATATATACAGCCCACTCCAGCTCTGTCACTTGGATCTGTGGCCAGGACATTAACTTTGGGCTAAATGGGCCCTAGCGTCAGGCTAGAGTAGCGCTTGGAACACATGAATGAAACTCAACAGATCAGCAGCAACTTAGTGAGGCATCTCAAGAACCCCAACTGTTCTGAGAAATTCTTTTGCAACCATCTCTGAATGCAATCTCTCCTAGCTTTGGGATTTGGATTCAATGGTCACTTACCTTTTGGTCTTCAATGTATTCAATGTCAGCCGTGTTGTAACCATCCCGCTGGCCCTGATGGAGCACCCTGAAGCGTCTCCTGCCTATGCTGTCAACCACTGAGCGACCATCGGCAAAGAATTGAACATTTCTAATCTCTAGGATGCAGCCATATTCAGCAAATCTGTTTATGGAGAGTGGAGTTAAGAAAGTAGATTCTTAAATTCTGTTTCCTTAACCTTGCCCCTCAGCCATGTCTGCCTGCCTCAAGGGACTTCTGGCACTCTGCATGTCCCAGGATCTAGAGCTACAATTACAAAAGAAGCCGCAGGCCACCTGCAGGAAATCACAGCCACCATTTACTGAGCAGACTCCGTGCCTAATACTGTGCTTAGTGTCTTATGTGCATTCACTCAGAAAGCCTGCCAAAAAGCTCAATGAGGTGGGCACTGCTATTTTTACTCACGTAACAGACAAGGAACCTGAGACACGGAAAAGGGAAGTAACTTGCTCAAGGTCAAATTTACTCCCAGGCCGGAGCCAGAATATGAATCCAGGCAGTTTGGCGCAAAGGTCCACGCTCTTACAAAACACATATTGTAATATACACCACAGTCTGTTGTTGTTACATGCTGTTGAGTCAGATTCCGACTCATAGCGACCCTGTCTAGGGTTTCCAAGGAGCAGCTGGTGAGCTTGAACCACCAACCCTGCAGTTCAAACCGACCTTTCAGTTTAGCACATTAATGCACAGCGCCACACCAGGTCTCCAGTTAATCCCGAGGTTCTGTTATATAGGCAGCCTCTAGGATGGTGACCGTGGGGCTAGAAGGATCCTGATCTTTATAAATAAGTGCTTATATCTGGAGCTACCTAAGTTTCACGAGTCGTGCCTCTCTACATCCTGGGAACACCCCAAGTCAAAACAAGCCCTCAACACCCATTCCTTGCATTCGCTTAGCTCCTCACTTACCCTTTAACAGGATCTCCAAGGCACATGCCAAACCGTCTTGTGCCTGTCTCAATGCATCTACGAATCATCAGACGGTAACAAGGCTCAAAGATGTGTAGGGGACAGGGAACGGTGGGGTAGGCCATAGTACACACAAAAATAGGCACGTTCTTATTTAAGCTGTCAGGAAAAGCAAATCATATGGTGACGTCAGAGCAATGAGGCCGACTAGAGAGGGATTAGACAAGCATCACCTGTGGCCCCCGGCCCCCAGGGAAAAAGGCAGGCAGCATCACTGTCTGAGGGCTTATAGAAACATATTGAAATGCCACTGATGCTGTGGGGATCAGCTCCTATTATCGAGTGTGCAGAGGCTACCCTAAGGACTACGATGTTTGAACTGACATACAGTTTCTATACATTCGAATTTAGCTGTTGTTCGCTAATATCTTATCACTGTGGATGGTCTTTATGTATCTGCTTCCCTTTGCTTTCATGCTCTCCACTCACAATGGCCTCTTCAGGTGTTTTACTGGCAGGATAGGCAAGGGTACTGATGGCATAACTGGACCCAGCTCTTCAAATGAATGGTGGGAAATTTTCCCATGGGCAACTCAACTTTTCAAAGCCCCTAGAGAATCTGCAGAGAAGACCTAGCAGCACAAGAGAAGCAAGAAGCAAGAGTGATCTCACCCAGTGATGCTCAAGCTTTCCTGTGCATCCGTCATTTCTTCTTATTGTTGAGTGCCATTGAGTCACTTCTGACTCAATGGCCCCTGTGTAAGGTTTTCAAGGAGTGGCTGCTGGGTTTGGCTCGCCACCTTTGCGGTTTGCAGTCTAGCACCATTGCCAGGACCCCATCAGAGTCACTGAGACACTTTAATGCAGATGCCTCGACTATTGAAATTCCAGAGCTGCAGATGTGGTAGGCTCTGGCATTTGTACTCAGAAGTGTGCATTTCAACAAGTGTGTGTCTTCCCCCCTCCCCCCTCGCCCGAGACCCAGACTGGGGAGCCACCAAGTGGGGCAGCTTCTGGCAGCAGCACTGTCCTCTTGTTTCACAAATCCAATACATCTATAACCCATGAGAGGCCTGAGACCATTGGGTCAGTGTTCAAAAGGATTAAGTTTAGAATTCCTTTAAGTAGAAAAACCTACTGCCATCAAGTCAATTCAGACTCAGTGACCCTGCATAGGGCTTCTCAGACTGAAAATCTTTACAGGAGCAGAAAGCCTCATCTTTCTCTCACAGAGCGGCTGGTGGGTTGGAACTGCTAATCTTGCAGTTAGCAGTCCAGTGCTTAGCCAATGGCCCCTGGTCTATTCTAGTGTTTGTTAATAAGACATTAAGTAATATTGAGAAAAGGTCTTATGAATACACAAGGCTAATTTTTAATTCAGACATAAAGATGAAGATGCCCTGAGTGGTTCTAATACAAAGAGGAAAATATGTTATTCAGAGTAAGGTACGTTCTAACTGGTGGCAGCATTTAGAAGTGTTCTTTACAGGCTGAGCGTAAAACCAGAACAGCGTTTGCCATCAGGAGCCTTGCTTCCAGAGCCCCTGAGTTCTATTCCCCTGAAGTTGGGGAGAGGGAAGGCATGCAGTGTGAGGAGGGGATGACTGAGCGTCTCCTGTCTTTTCTACATGAGCTCTTCCTCCAGCGAGGCTGAGAGAGCTTGGAGCCCCACTTGCTTCTCTGTTTCTACCCTTCACTTCTCCGGCTACCCATGTGTAGCTTGCTATGTATTACCTCATTTAATCTTCATAACATGTACATGATCTAAGAACTGTTACTTTCCCCAAACTACACAGCGGAAACTGGCTCAAAGCAGTTTAGTGAGCTGCTAGTGTCGTGAAGTATGAGGGGGCCTTTAAAAAGTTTGTGAGGACATGGAATTACAAGATAATAGCATTTTTCCATGAACTTGTTTGAAGCCTTCTTATATATTCACTTTGTAGCCAAACTGGGTCTTAAACCCAGGTCTTGATGATACCAAAAGGTCTTCGCTTTGTAGCAACCCCTCATGTATTTGAAGACCGTCTCTGGACATTGATTAAGCTACACCATTTTACTGCTGCCAGAGACACACTGTTATCAGTGACAAGCCATGTACTGGGCAATGATTCAGTTTATGCTTCTTCAGTGTAAGTGCCCCCACCTCCAATCAGGGTCCATTTCATGTTACTAACATGATCCCACTGAGTGAGGAAGGGGGAAGACAAATGCATACTCAGTTCTCATAAGCTGGTATGAGTGAAACCAAAAATAAAAACATGCATACATATATATATATATGCATATATACATACTTAGACAGTTCTCGCATTTCTTCTTCATAAAGCCTCCTTCGTTCTTTTAATTCTTCTGGAAGGAATTTAGCTATTAGCTCTTCCATTATTATAGTTTTGCTGTATTTTCGTGATGTCAAGCACTATATTGGGAAGAATAGGCCATTGAATATTATACAGCCATCAGACACAGAACTGTCAAAGAACCCACATATTAGCATAACTTTGACCCCCCAATTAACCAGCTGAGATGATGAGAATGTATGTATTCTGGATGGTAGAGTTCAGTTTAAAACAAAACAGAACAGACACATGCAATGAATTATTTTTGGACTTAAAATTTTTTTTTTTAATATTGTAACAGTAACAAAACTTGCACTGAAGGTTTAAAAGTCTCAGCGTTTCCCCCAAACACTGAAATTGAGACCATGTTCTTGCCCCACCCCACCCCACCCCGCAAAAGAAACCACAAAGTAAAAAAAATCCTTCCCTTCCTTCTTTCTGGTTAGCATTTCTCAGCTAACAGAAATGGTCGCTGGGATGTGCGGAAGGGCAGTAATGGCAAGGTTCAGCCAGTGATCCTTTACTGCCATGTCTCTACCTTTTACCCCAAGGCCAATGCTTGGATTTTGGACATTGCACCATCTACATGATGATAATGATTTGTTCTCCTTCAGCTTCAGTTGAGACATGCCCTGGTGGCACAGTAGGTTAAGCACTGGTGGTTCAAATTTTGCACAGGAGAAAGACATAGCAGTCTGCTCCCATGAAGACTGACAGCCTCAGAAACTCCACGGGGGCAATTCTCCTTTGTCCTATATGGTTGCTAGGAGTCAGAATAGACTCAACAGGAGTGGGGGCCGCTGCACTTTAGTATTTGGAAAAAATGGGGGGTATGAAAACCAGTAGTATTTGAAAAAATATGAGGGGAGATGAAAACTAGTGGTTTTATTTTGTTTGTCTATTTGGTTTTTAAAAATCATTATTATACGTCTAGTTATTATTGAAATGATGTTATAAAACATATATATATATATATATATATACACACACACACATATATACACACACACAGGGATCAGCACGTTGTGGGTATTTAATAATGTGAATCACCAGACAAGGAAGGTTTTAAACAGTGGAGTGCTTGCAATGAAAAGGATCTGTACAGACCAGCAGGGGGAGCTCCTGAGTATTAGACGACTTCAGATAATTTTCCTTTCCCTGTGTGGATTGTGTCCGTCTATTCTGCAGTGACAGTGATTGGAATAAGATATTTCTCTGTGTAAAGTGGTGGGTGACCCTGTGTGAGCACACAGAGATAGACAAGCCTGTCATCTAGTCCCAGAGTCCAGAATGCCTTATTTACCAGGCCCTGCCTGGTAGCTCCAAGTGCACGGACTAGGGACCCAGGCTTTGGAGACCAGCAGCAACTCAGGAAACAGCAAATCTGCGAAGTAGCAAATCAGCATTCAACTGAAGCTAAAAAAAATTAAAAACACTGAGGAACCAAAACCAAACCACTGCCGTGGAGTCGATTCCAACTCAAAATGACAGGGTACAACTACCCAGAGGATTTCTGAGGCTGTAAATGTTCACAAAAGCAGCGGTTTGAACTGTCACCAAGTGCTTTAGCCACTGCACTACCAAGGCTCCTTAAACCTTAAAAAAACAAGTCCCTTGCCCTTGAGCCAAGTGTGACTCATGCGCCTCTGCAACAGGTTTCTGAGACTAAATCTTCATGGAAGCAGACAGTTTCAGCTTTCTCTCATGGAGCAGCTGGTGGCTTTGAACCACCAACCTTGTGATTAGCAGCCCAGTGCCTAACCCACAATGCCACCAAGGCTCCTGGGTTTTTCGGGTTCCTTAAACCTGTTGCCGTTAAATGCCATCAAGTCGGTTCTGGCTCATAGGGACCCTGTACAGGGTTTCCAAGGAGTGGTCAGTCAGCTGGAACCACCAACCTTGCGGTTAACAGTCCAGTGCTTATCATATAGCAGCATACCAGGACTCCTTAAACCTAGGAACCCAAAAAAACCACGGCCATCGAGTCGATTCCAACTCACAATCGTATAAAACAGCGTAAACCTGCTCCTTAGGGTTTCAAAAACTGCAAGTTTTTATGGGAGCAGACAACCTCATCATTTAGTGGCTGGTGGGTTTGAACTGCTGACCTTGTGATGAGCAGCCCAATGCTTAACCCACTGTGCCACCAGGGCTCCTTAAACCTAAGAGAGATACGTACAAAAATGTGGCTTTCTCTAGGTACATGAGTTGACTTTTCTTCTTTCTGCTTCTCTGAACTTTGCAGTGGCACCACAGTGCACGAGTCCTGGATGATTCTATAAATAAGCATTGGACTGCTAACTGCAAGGCCGGCAGTTCAAACCCACCAACCACTCCTCGGAAAGGCTATACAGGGTCTCTCTCTATGAGTCGGAACTGACTTAACAGGCCCTAACCACTACACCCCTTTAACCCAGGGAAGAGAGTGAGAACTCACACCCTTCGTTCCTTCCCTGAGTTTCTATGGCGGAGTGTGGGGGATAGTGGCTTCTCTGGATCTGCGTTCACCCAGAAATAGTCTTGCCTCCCCAGCCTCTCCTCTGGGTGCTGGGGTCAGCAGCAGTAATACCAAGGGTAAAATGTGCCACACAAGCGCTTGAGGGAAGGAAAACAAGGTAGACTCCCAGGATTCTTTCTTAGCTAGAGGAATTTCACCTGGGTCACTGGGAAAAGGAGGCTGGGGCGGCTGTGTGATTCGTTTTAGAGGATATGAACGGCTCGGAGCTTTTGAAGTCACCAAGTGTCTGTGAATAAGTGCAGTTCTTTGCACACCAAGGGGGAGACCAGAATCACACTGGACGTCTATAAAGGTTTCTCTCGGGACCTGGAAGCTGATTTCTTTTAACTACAGAATAAACATCAATGATAAGGGGATTTCAGAGTTTATCTTGTCCAAGTCCAGAGAGGATAAATGGTTCACACCAAGATTAAAGTGAATCAGGTGGCCGACATGCTGGAATTAGAATCTGGATTTAGAGTTTCATCATCTTATCGGACTAGCTAGCACTTTTGTCCCCAACCAGGGCTTTGAACTGGTTCGTTCCGGTTCACTCCTTGCTGACACTTCACCTTTCCACCCTCAAGTAGAATCTCCTGTTTTAACAAGATGCCCAGGTGATTTGTATGTAAATGTAAGAATCACCTGGGGCTCTGTAAGGAGCCATGGTGGTGCTATAGGATAAGCACTTGACTGCTAACTGCAAGATTGGTAGTTTGAACTCACCAGCCCCTCCATCGGAGAAAGAAGAAGCTGTCTGCTCAAAGATTTACAGCCTTTGCAAGGTCGCTATGAGTCAGAACCAACTAAATGGCAGTGAGTTTGAGGGAATCTGTAAGAATTACTTGGGGACCTTATTCAAACAGAGATTCTGATACAGTCTATCAGGAGGTGGAATGGCAAATTCTCAGCAGTGGGTTCAAATAGAATTAACTGGTCTGAAGCCATCTCGGACACAAATGAATTTCACTATTGACAATAAAAAGGGAGACGTTGCCAGTTTTTCTGAGTGATTTTGTGGAGACGGAAGAGAGGCAGGAGAAAATAAATGGTCCCAGGGGCCTACTGGGCACGGTTGTTGTTGTTAAGTGCTGTCGAGTCAGCTCCGACTCACAGCGATCCCCATATAGTTTCCAAGAAGTGGCTGGTGGGTTTGAATAGCTGATGTCATGATTAGCAGTCTAGTGCTTATCCTACAGTGCCACAACAGAACTCCTTGGACACTGGCTTAGTACCTGCGCCCGAATCCACCACCTCATTCAAGACAGAAAGACTATTTTACCTGTAAAAGAGCATCTTTGCACAGCGGGCACTTGGCATTGTGATCCAGGCATCTTTCAAGGCATTTTAAGCAGAAGGTATGTCCACAAGGTGTTGTAACTGGCTCATAAAATAATCTGAAATTTAAGAATCATAAGGGAAGAAGATGGCAGTAAGACACACACACACACACAAATATGTTCAAAGGTCAAGTAACATGGTTTGGGAAATCAAGACGGTGATTTCTTTTTTGTTATCATTGCTCTTGTTGGTACATCTGTTTTTCATTTCTGAGCAGCATTTAAAATAATGCCTTTATTAAAATTTCAGGTGGAGCTAGACAATTTTTCTAGCATTAATTCTAGTCAGTCTCTTCTGGGGCACCCAGAGTTTATTTTCCCCTGCCTGGTCCCCTCAGACAACAGAGATCAATGTCCAGTATGTCTGAGTAGACTCAATTCTAAAAATATTTAGGTAACCTGTTCACCTTGAGTATATGTAAATACACACACACACACACACACACACACACACACACACATGACTTCCAACAATTTCAAACTGGTTCAGTCATAGCCAGTGTCGTGAAACTGGAATAGACTCAAATTTTTCATATTTGGGTGATCTGGAAAAAATCATTGAAATGAGAAAAATCATGGGTCAACACCCTGGAAAGGAGACTCGGAAGAGGTCTAGTGTAGCCTTTCAGGAGCTTGATGAACTGTAGAGAGTGACACACATCTTTGTTGTTGGCCACCATCTTTGAATTGAGCACAGCTGTTTCAGGCTCAAAAATCCAACAGGCATGGGATCTGGTTGGTATGCAACGCACATACTGCCCTTGTTGTCTTAGGGGGGAGATTACGTTTCTAGCAGGGCTTCTGCCTGTAAATTTTCCTGTTCTGGTTCACCCAAATTTGAAAAATTCACATGTGTTGAGTTTTGATTCCTGGCCATGACAGAACAGGGGAAAAATGGTTTGAAGCCCTGGTATTAACACATACGTATTCACACACACTCGCTCTCACTCTTTCTCCCTCTTATACACACAATTCAACAATTTCGCAACTGTACACATTACAACAGAAAAATACCTGGCTGTTTTGCTAACCTTGATTGCTTTTTTCACCTAAGCAACATGTACTGCCTGAAGAATCTTAAAACTGCACCTCTAACAACACATACCTGCCTTTATATGGATGAACAATTTTCCTAAGACAGTGGAGTTGTATTATTAATGTGCTACTGAAACACACACACGCAGACATGCTCCAATTAGAACCTATGTTTTCCTTGCTTTAGGGGAGCTGGGTATTTTCGAAGCAATCTAATGATCCTTTTATAAAGTCTGTTGTAGACATTCAGAGATTCACGGACTGCCATCACTCAGAGAAAGGCTCACCTGCAGCAGGACCAGTGGGTGGGGGCAGCTGAAGATGATAGCTCAGAAGTGGGGTTTGCACTCACCATAAGGACGAGAGCACAAAAAGAAGGGAAAGACGCCTGGCCAGCCTACTTAGCCCTCACAAGCGAGTTCAGTTGACAGGGAGAGGCAGCCAGCTGCACAGCTCCCTCATGTGGCCTGGAGGTGCACCAGCAGTCTGAGCCACATTGCCAGGCAGAGCAGAGAATTCAACTGTCAAAGCTTCAAATCAGGACTTGAGAAGAAATTTTACCCATTTACTCAGAATGAAACTGAAGTCCAGAGGAGGAGAAGTCACTTGTCTGAGTGTAAACAGGCAAAACTATCCACTTTCAGCACTCCTGTGCCTTTTCTGTTAGAACAATGATTCTCAACTATGCATCAAGATCACAGCTTTCCAAACCAAACCATAACCTTTGTGCAGCAGTCATGGACTCTGACCCTATGGGGGAGTAGAACTGACCCATAGGATTTCCCAGGCTGAAATCTTATGGAAACAGATTGCCACATCTTTGTGCCCTGGAGCTGCTGTTGGGTTTGGACTGAAGACCTTTAGGTTAGCAGCTGAGCACTGTGCTACCAGGCCTTCTTGAACCACTTTGTTATTGTTGTTAAGTGCCGTGGAGTTGGTTCCGACTCATAGCGACCCTGTACAGGGTTTCCGAGGCTATAAATCTTTACAGGAGCAGAAAGCCTCCACTTTCTCCCGCGGAACAGCTGGTAGTTTCGAACTGCTGACCTGCGGTTCGCAGCCCGATTCGTAACCACTACGCTACCAGAGCTCCTTTACTGCTGTATATAACCGATGCGCAGTAACTCACCATACTTTAGTAGAGTGTACAACTTTGTAAGTTTTTACATAAGCACACACCCATGGGACTATCCCTAGAGAACATAATCATTACCCTCAAATGTTTCCAAGTTTCTTCATACCGCCCCTTTGTAAACCCCACCTCCTGCCCCTCTCCACCCTGCCCCATCCCCCCACTACCTGTTGCTAAGTGCAGTTGAGTTAGTTCTGACCCTGTATAGGGTTTTCAAGGAGCAGCTGGGAGATTTGAACTGTGGGTTTAACCTTATGGTTAGCAGTCCAGTACTTATCCAACAGTACCACCCAGATGTCTGCAGCACACCAAAGAGCCCTGTGGCACTGTAGGCTAAGCACTGGACTGCTAACCACAAAGTCGGCAGTTCGAACCCACCAGTCACTCTATGGGAGAAAGGTGAGGCAGTCTTCTATCAAGATTTCATCACTATGAGTGGGAATCAGCCCGATGGCAGTGGGTTTGGGTGGCCACATCTGCGGAGATATCGGCCACCTGGTCTAGTAGGATAAGGCCCTGGCATCAAGGTTTTTGGTTTGCTTTTTTTTGAAGGTGGTAGTAATGTGTAGGCTAGGACTGAGAATCACTGTAGTATTACACAATCCTACTAATCTCTACAGAGGCAAACCTTCTGGTTTCCAAATCTAATCATCAGAATCACCTGAGGAGCTTTCAAAACACACACATACACACACACACACACACACACACAGAGAGAGAGAGAGAGAGAGAGAGAGAGAGAAGCTTGACTCAGCAAGTCAAGGGAAGAGATAGAGATTGTTTATTCTTAACAAGTCAACAAAGGCCGGCCATAGGAGAGAGGCTTTTAAGATCCTCTCTGTGTAGTCTGAATTTGTGTCCTGTTTTAAAAGTATATCATTTAGACAACAACATTAATACATTTCCGTTTTTACATTTTTAAAAATCAAACATTTCCAAAACAAAAACAAATAATTTATGGTGGTCCTAACCAGTGCTCTAAGGCAAAAAGAAAAATGAAAATATAAGATTGGAAAGAAACCAAATCTGACATCAGTCACAAATCGTATGATGGTGAGCTTAGAAAATCTACAAGAATCTACACATGATTTTTAGAATACAAAACAACTAATCAAAGGAGCTCTGGTAGCATAGTGGTTACGAATCAGGCTGTGAACCTTAAGGTCAGCGGTTCGAAACTACCAGCCGCTCCACGGGAGAAAGATGAGGCTTTCTACTCCCGTAAAGATTTACACCCTTGGAAACCCTGTACAGGGTTACTATGGGTCGGAACCGACTCGACGGCACTTAACAACAACAACAACAATCAAATGAGCGGACTCTTCGTGGGGTGCTGTAGGATAAAGCACTGGACAACTTATCACAAGGTTGGCGGTTCAAACTCACTAGCTGCTTCTTGGAAAACTAATACAGGGCTACTGTGAGTTAAAACTCACTTAACAATAACAATCAAATGAGCAAGGAGCCCTGGTAGCACTGTGGGCTAAGCACTAGGTTGCTTGCTAACTGATGGTTCAAACCCACCAGCTATTATTCCAAGGGAGAAAGACGAGACTGTCTGATCCCATAAAGATTTACAGTTTCAAAAACCCAAGCAGTGAGGGAAAAGGATACTCTTTTTCAATAAATGTTCCTGGGAATACAGGCATGCCTTGCTTTTATTGCTTTTCACTTTACTGCAATTTGCAGTTAGTGCCCTTTTTCAAAAGAAATTTTAAATACAAATTAAAAGTTTGTAGCAACCGTCTACTGAGCAAGTCTATTGGGGCCATTTTTTCAATGTATCTTTGTGTTACATTTAAAGTCGTTCTCACAATACTTCAGTCTGTTTCATAACGTGGTTGCACACTGGTTGCACACTCAATAGACTACAGTCTAATGTAAGCACAGCTTTCAAATGTGCTGGGAAACCAAAACATGTGCATGACTTACTTTATTGCAATATTTGTTTTATTGGGGTGCCTTAGAACTGTATCACTAAGGTATGCCTGTAGTTGGATATCCACTGGCGGGGAAGGGGGGAGGGGGAGGAGATGAAGCTGGACTATCCCCTCACACCATACACAGAAATCAATCTCATATGGATTATAAAAATGTATGTGAAAGGCGAAACAATACAACATTTAACAAAAACACTATCAATAAAATTCTTGATAATTTTGACTATATTAGAATGAAGAACATACAAATTCATCAAAAGATGCCATTGAGAGAGCAAAACAGGAGATCGCAACATGAGAGAAGGCATTTGCAATTCTGTAGCTCTGTGTGATAAACACTGGACTGCAAACTACAAGGTCAGTGATTTGAGCGCCCCAGCCACTCCATGGGAGAAAGACGAGGCTTTCTGCTCCCACAACCATCTACAGTCTCAGAACTGACTCAATAGCACTTAACAACAACAACAACAACAAACAAAAATGTAACATCTAAGACTACACACACAGCTCCTGCAATTCAGTGAGAGAGAGAGAGAGAACCCAAAAGGAAAAAGGGGAAAAGACACATGTGGCAGGAAATGTAGACGTTTTTCATAGCAATCTTGTTCATAACTAAATCAGAGATAGATTCATACTATAGAATACTAAACAAAGATAAAAACGAACAAAATTCATCCCGATGCAATACATGGCTAAATCTTAAATTAAAACTAAATAAAAGAATGGAGAACAGAAGAATGTGTTCTGGATGATTCAATTTATATATTGAAACAGGCAAAATGAAATCATATGGCTTAGGGATGCATACACAGGTGGTAAAACAATAAAGAAAAACAAAGAGCCAAAAGTCAAAAGAATGGTTTTTGAGGAGGAGGGAAGTTTGTGATTGAGAAGGGGCACATAAGCAGTTCCTGGGGTACTAGCAATTTTCAATTTCTTGAACGGAGAGA